TTCAAAGCTGAAATAAGCTTACGTGGCCCAATGAAAGGGGAAGTGTTGGCCGGAGAGTGCAACAGGCGAGTGCCCCTAGCACTGCTCTTGCAAAAAATGGAGTCAATCTCTTTCTCTCTCTGTTGCAGCATCAATAATTACAGGCAATGGGACCAACCACGTTGTGGCCCGGACGCGTGGAGATGGGGGCCAGGATTCAATAATTGCATGATGAATGGTTTTATTCACTTAACATTTTATTTTTTAAAATAAAAAATTTTTCTTTAATGAAAAATATATAATTTATTTTATAAAATTATTTAAATATTTTTTAATATTTTATATTATTTTATTAAAAATTTTAAGTAATTTTATAAAATATATAACATACAGTCCACCTTAAAAGTTAATTTTTTCTTTTTAAAAATAATTATTTTATTTAAAAAATTGTCATAAGCCTTAACACAATTTTATATTTTGACACATACACACAAATACACTAATACATAAGAGAGTAAAGGTCAAATAGAGGCAAAAACAAAGTAATAAAAATATAAAATAGAGACAAAAACAAAGTAATAAAAATATTAAAAAAATATGAAAAATATTAATATAAAGAAGAAAAATGAGGAAAGATATATATATACATTAAATTAAGTCTAAAAGTACATAACAATAACACAAGTTTTTAAGTATATGACGATGAAACAAACTAGAGAGAAATAAGATCCTAAAGTAAGAAATTAAGAAAAATATAGTATGTGAATGAATAGGATAGGAGGGAATTAAAGAGGAGATGATGAAGAATAGAAAAAACAACACTAAATAATTTATTATTATAGAGATAAAAAATAGATCTAGATGATTAAAAAATTTTCATAATTTATTAATACAATAACAAATTATAAAAATTTATCTTTATTTTTTAAAATTAAATTTAATTAGGTTTAAATTTTCTTTTGTACTAATCATTTAGACTTTTTTTTTGAATTAATATATTTAAAATTATTAATTATTAAAAAGAATACTCTAAGATATATTTATAATTAATTATTATGATAAAAGTTTATAATTACTAAAAATATACAGAAAATAAAGACAAACCGTGGCTTGCAGACTAGTATAACCAATAGTTGTTTGATTAAGAGTTTGTCCGTCAACACTTTTTAATATTGCTTATAAGTACTTTTTTTAGCAAAATTTATTGGAAGGAAATGTTTTTTTTTAGTATTTAAAATATTTATAAGCAAATTATATAAAAAAAAAACCTATGAGATATGACTTTCTAAAATCTTACTCAAAAACACTTTAAATAATAAGATTTTATTTAATATAATTATGATTTTAAGTTTTTAATTTTGAGTTTTATAAATTTTCCTAACACTAACAAACAAGCTCATTTATTTTAATGTGTTATATTATAATGATTACTAAAAAATAATTTTAATATTATTAAATAAGTTTACATTTTTTGTTATTAGTATTAAAACTTATTTTAAATAAATTGTTAGATTTTAATTTTTAGTTTTAATTTTCAATAATTGTAAAATTTATAAAAACCAAAATTAAAAATCATAACCATACTAAATTTAGCTTAAATTGCAAACATTACCTCTAACAAATTTTTAAGTTTAAGATAAAAAATGTTCATAAAAAAGGAAAAATTTTGCCGAAGTAAACTTTAAAACTCTTAAACAATTGCATGGAAACTTCAATTGTTAAGGAAAAAATGTTTATAAAGAAGGATCCTGGTGCAGTTTATGATAATGACTAGCCAAATTGCATGGAAACTTCAATTGTTAGGGGTTTCATTTGCTAAGCGTTGATTGCTATAACCCATAAACAATTTTCTGAACTTTTGTTTTGTTTGATGCCCCTTGAACATAGACCGTGAATGATGGTCTGCACGGTAATCTTAGTAAGTAGTGTAAGTACAGCCTTAGAAATAAAGAGATTGATGATGTGTTTTCTTTGAAGATTGAATTTTAAAACCGGAAGTCATTGTGTAATGTTGTAAAAATTTAAAATATTACAAGGTGCTGAAAGAGGTCAAGGATGCTTTCATTCCATTTAGTTTTTTGATCTATTTTGAGTTATATTGTATTAACTTAGGTAAGTAATTTTTTTTATTAAAATTTTAATATCTAGTAATTATATTAAATCTTAATTAATTTAAAATTTAATCACGTCAAATCTTATAAAGGAAAAATTTTTTAATATATATTTTTTCATTCACAAAACTCAAATTCAAAATTTTATTTAAAAAAATCAAACTTCTTTCAATTAAATTAACATATAATAAGTTATATAAGTAATATTTGATTTGAAACTTTAATTTCTATAATTGTATTTTCTTTGAGAGTATGTTTTATACTCTTAATAATATATTTCCCATTTTACGTTACTTATAAAAAAAAAAGTACAGTCTACAGTCTGTACAGAATAGCTTGCGGTGGTACAAATAAATGGTGCTTTACAAGATTAGCCAGCCCGGAGTTTTTTGTGTTTTGGTGAACTTTGGCGGGTTTCTTTCCAGGTAAATAGAAGTTAAAAAATTGATAATTAGGATTCTCAAAGAGTTACAGATATATTTGGGATTTCGTTGAGTGCAGTGTTTAGTGCTTTAGCTTTATGCTTCAGAACTATTTTGATTAAGCAATTTACGTGGCCATTGCCTATTTTCAAAAAAAAAAAAGAAAAAACCAATTTACGTGGGGTTCTAGATTGGATTTATGCTTTCTTTTCTATCTATGATGCTTATTTGAATGGAGAATGAAATGAAAATATTTTGCATTTAATATTATCTATATCTTTAAAATATGAATTAAAAATGTAATAAATATATATTTTTATAATTAATTTACATTAAAAATAATAAAAATTAATTTTTATTTTAATATTATTATTACGTAAATAATTTTAATTAATTAATTAGATTTAAATTAATTTTTATTAATTTTTATATAAATTAATTATAAAAATATATTTATTATATTTTAATTTATATTTTAAAAATATAAGATAAAAAATTCTTTAATATTAGTTTGTAATGGAATTGTCTGAATTTAAAATCCTTATTGACCTAGTGAGGACTGCATGGTCCACAGTATTGAAATTTGAGAAAAAAGGAAAAAGTAAATTAGACATTGACTGTGTGGTACGACGATAGTAATTGCCTTAAATTACTGCATTAAACGGCCAACAAACGTCAGTCAATCTTTCATCAAATAGTACAGCAATGGTAGTAGAAATCTGTTATCTCGCAGCTTTGCGGTCGCCATGAAAATTGATGGTAGGCAACCGCACCGACCGTTTGCTCAGCCCAAGATAAAGTAATGGACAAAATTTCATAACTATGAATTATGCAAGCAAGAAATTGAATTGTAAAAGTTAAAAGGATTTTTTTAATTTGTATTTGTATAGTATATGTTAAGATTTTTGAAAAATATAAAAATGAATATTAATTTTAATATGAGATTAGTGTTTGTCCGTCTTATTTTTAAAAAATTAAAATGAAAAAAAATAAAAGTCATCTTAATGTATGTTTTAAAAATATGATAGTTTAATTTTTTTTAATAAAAATTTATTAAAATGATGTAATTTTATGATGATTTTTTTTCTTAATTTTTAGGAAGTAAAGTTGACATGCATTTTTTTTTAATATTAAATAAATTTAATTGAATAATTAATAAATTAAAAATTAATTTTTATTTTTTTAATATATATTTACAATAAAAATATAAAAAAAATACAATTAATATGATTTTAGTTTGTGTTCTTGAAAGTACATAAGTTAGGCAAACCCACAAATAAAAGGAAAGTGATCACGTATCTTCTCTTACACTCTTTTTTTTGTAGGATCAATAATTCCGAGAAATGGGGCCAATCTCTTTCTCTCTCTTTTGCAGGATCAATAATTACAGGCAATGCCATTACCTATTTTCAAAAAAAAATAATAATAATAATTACAGGCAATGGGGCCAACCACGTTGTGGCCTGGACGCGCGGAGATGGGAGCCAGGAATTAATAATTGCAGGATGAATGGTTTTAATCACTTTTCGTCTTTTTTTTTTTTAATGGAAAATTGTTTTTAAAATAAAAAATATATAATTTATTTTATAAAATTATTTAAATAATTTTAAA